AGCTCGCCTACGAAAGACGGACCGCAGAAATGGAAACACTACGTTCGAGTAGCGACAGTGGATGAATTTTTTATTATGCCAGAGGCCATTCACACAGACAAATAGCAGGAATGTTGAATATTTGTAAAAGAACGGTTAATGGCGTAATGCAGAGGTTGCGACCACACAACAGAGAGGACGTGCAGTTAACGGAAGTAGAAGAAGACGAGATAGTGCGAGCGGTGAAGAAAAAGCCAGGGTCGGTGATCGGGGTCAGTGTCCATCCGGGCACTGTACGCAGAGGAAATGGCTGAATTTAATGGGCGAGTAGCTGGGAAAAAAAAAAACAAAACATTTCATCGACGGGGCAAATAGAAAGAAGAGGCTACAGTTCGCGAAGCAGAATATAGGCAAAGACAAAAAATGGCGGGAGAGTGTCGTATTTGCGGACAAGAGTAAATTTGAGGTGCTCAGATCAGATGGTAGGCGAACGGTGACCGGAGAGGGGGGGGGGGACTAGGTTCGACTTCCGACGGTGGCAAGATTTTTGATACTGACGTGTCAGCTGGGTCGGAGTCTGTATGGAGGCTCTTCTGATCGGTAGTTTTTCGTGGCTTTTCCGATCAACACCAAGCGAATACCGGAGAAGTAACCTTACAATCGGGCCACGGACCGCGCGTGATCTTTCCTTCCCCTTCCCTGTCCTATCCTACCCCTTACTTACAATTACTCAAACATGCCCTACACTACCACACATGGCGGGAGACCAGTTGAGAACTTATAGCTTCTCCCCGCTGGTAGGAGACACCTGGTTGGGGAAAACCCCTCTAGCTGACGTTAAGTCTGCGCCGGATCTCACCACACAGCGTGGGGAACACTATCGCCACATCTCGAGAGAAAACACGAACTGCACTTAAGGGACTAATCACCTTAGTAGTTGACGCGCCCGGAATGACTAACGATCAATCAAGCGAATGGTGAGTAGAAAACAAAATGATTCACTTAATAGGAAGAATCTCATTCCAACAGTAAACCATGAAGGAGGACACGAGATGATTGGGGCATAGCCGCCAGTAGAGTGGGAGGAATTGCTGTCATTTGAGATACCATGAAGAAAACGCAGTATATGAATATTCTGAAAAACATTTGCAGAGGAGCACAGAAACACTGAAGATTAAAAACTGTTTTAAATTTTATAAAGGTAACGGACTTGAACATAACGCTCGTGTTGTGACGGAATGGATCCTATACACTTGTCCTAATATTAGCGATTCACCACCTCAATCCCCAAACCAAAACCCTATTAGGAATCTTTCGCAGCAATCAGAATCTAGGATTCGCAAATAAAACATTCAATCGAAAACGGAAATACTACGCGAAGATTTAGGAACAGTTATAACAAAAAATTAGTAACTTCAATGCCGAGAAGACTGAACGAAGTGTTAAAACCAGAGGATCTATCTTCAAAATATTAACTTGTAATTGTAATGTTAATTCCTCACATTTTCCTGCGTTTACTTAAGGAGGAGTAAGTATGTATTTGACTAGACACGCATTAAAAATGTGGAGGTGCCGGGGTTTGAACCCGGGACTTCTCACATGCGAAGCGAGCGCTCTACCACTGAGCTACACCCCCTCTCTACTGATTGGCCGCTCTTGTCTATGTTCAGTTAGGAACTCTTCGACTTAACGAGGAGTAATTTTTTTTTTATTAAATCTCCTGCGTTTATTATATACGCAATAAGAATGTGAGGGTGCCGGCGTTTGAACCCTGGTTTCACACATGTGAAGCGAACCACTGAGCTACACTTGTTGTTTCTTTGTTTTCTAATCTTGTGTATGTTATGGTAGGATCTTCTTGACTTAAGAAGTCAGTAGGATCTAGATCAGAAACGGAATAAAAACTAGTTGTACTAAAACAGCACATACTTTCTCGCACGTGCTTTCACGCAAAATTACGCGAAATGTCCTCAAAGTTACGAAAAGTTGTAAATGATCTTCTTGCAATACAAGTATGTAAGGAACATATGTTACGAAGAAAAAAATCTCTATAATATTTATCGTAGGAAGACACCGAAAAACGTTTGAACTTTGCCATTTTCGAAACAGGAGGATTGTCGACGAACAGAGACTTGCATCATTCTCTTTGACGTTATTCTCACTACGTAACAACAAAATTTAATCGAAAAACGATAGTCTTTTTTTTTTTGTAAATTTGAAAAATATGTAAAAGATTTCGTGTAAAGTATCCCCAAACAGTTCGGTAGGAGAAAATCAATTTTGAAGAAAATCAGCTGAACGGATTAGTCGCTAGCGTTTTTCATAGACGGACGGACAAACTAATAGACGGAAGGACAGACGGACGTTTTGCGGTCATTGGATTGTTTGGTCTCAACGAGCCATAAAACATGGTTTCTGTCTACACCACCCGTTACACTATTTTTTTAATTTAGCAACTGGATTACCCATTTTGTCGTTACTAGGACCTTGTAATGGGAGTTGTTCTGCTGAAAATTCCCTGTTTGTTTTTTTTCGCGCTGCATTACATAACTTTATCTCTCCTGCATAACCGTCAGCGACAGAGTGAAAAATGTGCAGTTGCGAGTAATAGTATTGAGAGGACGAAATGTTTGGATGTGCCTTGCAATCCTTCTAGTGTTCTCTGCCTTTTCATCCATTTGTGAAAAGCAATAGCTTTCAAACAGTTCGTATGATTTTTTACATAATCGATATTGTCATCAGCGGCTGACGTAGCTCTGAGCCACCATTTCCGTCTAGCTGCGGCGATTGACCGGGAGTTCCCAGGATCCGGCGGTGCTGAAATTTTATTTCGAAGTGCGTATCGAGGTACCTAGGTCGAATTCTCCTGTTGTCTGGAGAAGAATTCTAGCGGCCGGCTGCTCTTATCGGTAGTTTTTGCGTGGTTGCTCCGACCAATATCCGGCGAATGCCGGAGCAGTGTCCTAACAAACGGGCCACAAACCGCGCCTATCTATCCTTCATCATCCCAGCCCTGTCCCCACCCCTTACTGACCCTTATAAGCACTAGACTAGCACACATGCCGGGAGACCGGTCGGGAGCCTAGAGCTTATCTCGGCTGGGGCGGTACCACGCTGGTGATAGATATCTGTTTGGGGAAACCCCGCTAGTCGACGTGTAGGTCGGTGGCGGATTTCATCATACAGCTGTTGCCCCACCATCACATCCCGAGGAAACCTATGCACTACACTTACGGGACTAATAACCTTAGCAGTTAACTCGCCTGGAATCACTAATCAATCCATCCAGATTTTGTTCCGGGGGTGGGGTGGACGACGGATTTGTGTAGCAAAGAAAACTATTCATTTGCACTTTTGAATATTCTGCACACATTGGTAATTAATAAAATTCAATCAGTAAAAATCGTTGACTAAGTAAACCGTGCTTTTGTTAAGAATATAAACAGAGCCATCTGAACTAAAACACAGCATTTTTGAAAAGTTAAAATTGAAGAATCCATGCACATGAAAGTTTCACGTCGATATCTGATATTGTAATCCTTTAAATGATTTGGTTGTCCATACATTATTTTTGTAATGTAGCTGAATTAACATTTTAAAAACGTATCATTTTCAGTGCTCATTTTATGGTTTTCTAAAACGCATTATTATGCCCATATCGCAACTCCCCAAACATAAAATGTTGTTTCATATGTATAAAAGTTTACAATTTTACGTAAAATGTGTTTGATGTCTTTTTTTTTAAACAAGGTTACAATTCAAAGCATATTGACATGGTTAATAGGTTGTTTGTCCGATAAATTCTTTTATTTCCTCTTGCCTCATATACTGTATCTAATTAATCAGTCTTACTAGAAACTTTTGGCTGTCTGAGACACGCCGAAATTCAAGAATCACTCTATTTCATTGAACAACTGTGACCACCATTTTTGCCCTTTTTACACACATTTACTCTCGGAAAATGTTCGGCAGCTGTAAAGAACACCAGGTGTGACCTTGTTACACTGAGTAACAGGAGATCCGAATTCATATCCGGGCAACGGATGACAATTCTTTAAACAAATTTAATTGTTAAAAACTATTTCACTTCCGAATTCGTATCCCGGCAGGGGTAACAATTCTTTTAAAAAGCATTTAATTGTTAAACACTCTATTTCAAGTACTTGAGCTAGTAGTGCAGTTGGTTACTATTATGTTACTAACGCAGAAAAATCAACTCTGCTGTATGTTTACTGTTGCAAATACGTTTTGTCTAGTTGTTCTAACGAAACTGTCTAGTTGATGTTTTCAAATGTTCCTAATCTCGCACTTTTTAAAAATGTATTACTATTATTATTATTTTCACTTTTATTAATTTTTTAACTATTTTTAGTTAAAATGTGGGGAAATGATTCCGGAATTCAAGAAAGCATGCGCAGATAATCTTTCTCATACGTCACATACCGGTTTTATTGTTTTGTGACTAAATAAATCAAATCAAATTGGAGTGTCTCTGAAAACTTTCTTGTACCTGCCGCCCATTAGTGGGAGAAGAGAGCTCCTTGCGTTCGCTCGGACCCGCCCAGCCGCCTCCCCGCCAGAAGAAAGCACCTCTCAACCTGTTGATCGGCCGCGAGGTCGTTTGGGTTCGCCAGGGTTCACTCCGCCGCGCGCCGCCGCGCGATTTTCAACCTTATGACGTACGCCCGCCTCGGCCGGCCCGGCGGCCGCCTGCGGAGGTCACGTGGTTCACCGCCTCCTCCTCCCCCCCCTCCCCACCCACAGGTTCCCCTCACCCAGCCTCCCGCTCGCGCCCGCACCGCACCGCGGACGTGGCGCTCGCTACCATCTGCGCGCTCAACTGTCTCGCGAACAGCCGACACCCGTCGGCGGCCTTGGCGATTGTTGCCGGCCGAAGTATCCCCCGGTGGCGGAGGGTGCCGCTGTCGGTTGTTTCTTGCGCCGTCGTTTGTTTGCCCGCCGCGCGCGGCGAGCCTCAGTCTTGCGCCTTCCATTGTCCGCGCGGGCCGCCCGCTCCGCGCATGCGCAGTGCCGTGAAAGTTGGGAATGCGCCGAGCGCGGTCGCTGCCGCAGCCCGCTCCGAGCTCGCGACGGTCGCCGACTCAACTAGCGCGTACGTGTACGTGTGCGTGCGCGCGCGTGTGTTTGTGTTTAAATACGTGAGTGCGTGTACGCACGCCCAGTGTTTGTAAATAATAATATTAGTGATCAATCGACCGACCGACTGCCGGAAGGTGATTTATGAATGGTGTTCAAAAGTGTGTCGACAGCGGTGGTCGTGTTTTGTTTTTGTTTTTCCCTCAAAGTGGCGGTGCGCGTAGTGTGAAGTGTCTACACGCGAGTATATGTATGTGTGTGTGTGTGAGGGGGTGTGGTAGATCCAGACGTGCTGGGCAGGGTTGTACAAAGTGGTACGTGCATTGTTCGGTGTGGTGAACCAAAAGCAAGGCCATTGCACTGTCGCTGCTCTCAAACGACTCAAGGTAAGGAAATATACGCTGTTTCTTACGCCCTTTCACAGAGCTGGTAAAGCTCGAAACACATCACAAGGCAAATGAACAATGATGTGAAAATAATGAAAGAAGACGAAAATGTATGAAACGGTCATTACTTAAAACAAAAGTAAGGCAGTTTCTTATAAAAATGAACTAGAAACTGAAAAATAATTTAATTCATGTTTCATTTACAAGCATTTTTATTTACACATTTTTTCGTTTCTAAAAAAGGCTTCTATTTAATTGATTCTTCTATTCTAAATAAGTAAGGCTATAAAAAATGCTGGAAAGTGAGAAATAATGTAGTAGATGTTCTGATAACCTAGGATTTTATTTAAACGGTATTTTTATTTTGTTTTAAAGTAAAGAAAAGCTTATAAAATACTCCGGGAACTGAGAAATAATTTAGTTGCCCTTTTTAACAGCGTTTTTATTTAATTAGTTTGACTATGTGTTGTCGGATTCTTGGCCTAAGACGTTAGATCCGATGATAGTTAAACAGTGAAAACTGCTAATCAATTTAATAAAACCTTCCAAGTCACATGCTTTAATGGTGCATGGCGCCCCACAAATACTTCTTGGGCCCATCAAAACAGTAGGTGAGAAATCTTGATGACAGTATAATGTTAAAGGAATTTGGAGGTGCTTTCTAGAAAGTGTGCTGGATGAGAACGTAATGTGATTAGTATTATTTATTTTGTGTGGGAATAATTCAAACAGCATAAAAAATAAAGTAATAGTTTCCTAACGTAAATCGCATCCTAAAACTGCAAATTTCAAAGTTAAAAGAAAATACAGGTAATGTTTGATTAAATAAATATTTTTATCTACGAAATTAAATTACGTGAGTAGAATAGAGTAGGGATCATATGGTTGACTTTTTTAAGAACAATTGCATAGGCATACAAACAAATGAAATCGAAGGTACATGAAACGTGGAGGGTGTACAATTTGAAATAAAAGTTCAAATATAATTTGAAATCCGGTGACATTTGTTCTGAGTTCCGTAGTTATGTCTTGTGTTCTCTTCTTGGTGTTCATTTAATAAAAGGATCTTAACATGTCTCAAAGACTTTCTCGGTTTTTTTTGAAGTGAAGCATCTAGAATTCTATGCGGTGTTTGAAAAATCTACCAGAGAAATTGATGTGAAATAACGGATTGCTGTTGACATTTCTGTAGACCATACGGCGTGCTCTTGCAGCTAATAGTTGCATTTGAAGGCCGCTTGCCAAATGCGTGGGTGATATTTTAATGAGTTACCATTTTACCGGCTGTGTGCAAATGTCAAGGAAATTGTCATTACAGAAGTACAGATACATTTCAATCAAAACAATTTATAAATAAGTTCTAGTTTGGTCGTTTATTTCACACACTTGTTGAGTAACTCGGTGAATGTGAATATTTGGTTCTGCGGGAGAAGGAAATGCGACAGATAATTCCAAAACAGTTCTGAAGTATTTTTGCATTGCTATCTTTCCTAAAACAGGTTTTCAGGGCAAAAATTCCTATTTTTGTTATTTTTCTGTAATTCTAGTGCATAATTAACAGGATTTTGTTTTTATATTTGAAAGATAACGTTAACCTAAATTATATATATATATTACTCAAGGAAACTTTTTATTTCTTTCCAAGAGAAATTACTTGCGTAGTTAGGTTAACCGAAACTTGGCTATTAATTCATTTGCGAAAGTAATAAAGTTTCCTGGACACCCTAATAAATACAGCGTCAAAGTGTGAAATGTCAAATTGGTCACTAATGTTTTACACGAGTTCGAATGGCAATATTATGATGATGACATAGATGTATTGCAGAAGAGGCTGTTTGAATTACGAAATCATTTCATTGATTCCGAGGTAATAATAATAATAAGATTATTATTAATACTAATTTACTATTATTGTTGTTGTTGTTTGTTATATTGCACAAGCTATGAATGACATGTCAAGATTGTAATATATAATTTAATAAGAATTTGAGCAGTTGAATTAAGGTATATTATTTAGTATGAATTTGATAATTTGAATAGGGTTATCATAATATAGTAATAGGAAACAATATAATACACACTATGCACTCTCGTTTTCTAAGTGGCAGAAAAAGTGGACTAAAATTAAAAGGGGAAAACACCCTTTTTCTTTTCTTTTGAAGCGAGAAAGAAGATTGGACTGGATTCATTCTTCCTGTCCACCAATCATTCTAAGAAAGTGAAACACTGAACAGAATTTACAAAGGAATTAGAAGTTGCCATTTGTGTATGTGCACGGTTACTATGTATATATTATTTTGAAACGAAGAATGGTTGGTTCAGCAGGAAAACGACCTTTTTTTAAATTTTAAATGTAGGTATTTAATTTAAGTTTAGAAATTTATTACGGAGGTTATTATAGGGAGTAATAATTCTATAATGGCACTATTTAGAAAGGGTTTAGTTTCAGTTTGAGGGATAACTAGATTTTTTAGACTAGTGTCATAATTACGATCTTCTGAATTTAGAGTAACAAACCTTGTTTCTCAGGATATCAGGAATCAAAAACATATTGGTTGTCTGCATGTTTCGTGTTTGAAAAATAATCAATTCCTGACCAACACTAACTTTCTGAAGATAAAAGTAATTAAATTCATTGTAATTTAAATCTCTCATACTTTTGACAATTACTACTTTAAATTACCAACTTCATTAGCAGGAAACTTTACATTATAAAAACCAAAACACATTGACATTTCATAATGCACCGGCCAAAGTGTCTGTGGTCTTTTCCAAGTCTAGTCTATTAATTCCGATCCATTTATATTCCTTTCATAAAGTAACCAATAAAATAACAATAAAACATCCAAATGGCCTTAATTGATTAACATTTCATGCGTATAAAACATTGGTAACGTTAGTCATTAATACAGTCCGTTTGACTAAAAATGTATGGATGATGCAGAATGTTTGACTAGACTGCATTGACTTGAACAAACTGATCATGAATACGTCCGAATGAACTGGACTGGAACGAATGCACTATATAGTCCTGAAAAAGGACAGTGCCACATTGGCCAATACGGTGTATAATTTTAATCTAAACTGTTTTTGTTTTTTTATTACAAAGTAATTGTGTGTTAATAAAGTTAGGTATTTAACATGCATATTGTTAAGAGTAATTAGGTTTGCAAAGGTCAAAAACGATGTCTCAGCAAATTACAAAGGTAAACGCCAAGTGTCTCGCAACCTTTTGGACTCTTAGCTCTTGTGTACTCAAAACAATGTCATTGACGGGTAACTGTCGCGTGTTGTTGAAGTCTCTTTGCAGCATGCACTGTGGCGAAACCGCAAGCGAAATTTCGATTTAAGCGCTGCGGATGAGTGAACTTGTTCTTAGCTTTTTGTACGCGATCGGGCATGACTTGCAAGTAGAAAACGGGCATTCTGGGATATTTCGTAATGGCAGTGGCGCCCAGAGAAATCAACAGGTCTGGGGCAATGGAACTCCGGGGACCCCTAGTTCAAACAAATTCAAGCCACGAACCTCCCATTCATGAACAGATTTAGTTTCTGCGTGTCACAGAAATAACCTATAGATTCAGATTTATTCAGTGAAAAAACAGTAAAAACTGTACGTGATGAAGGGGGGGACGATTATCTGCGCCGTTTTCTTGAGTTCCAGAATCCCTTTCCGTCATTTCAACTACAAATAGTTAAAAGATGAGTAAAAGTTTGACATGCATAAATAAAAATAAATTTTAAAAATCGTAAGATAAGCAATATTTGAAAAATATTCATTTTTGTTTCTGAGTTATAGAAAACTTATTTGCATCGGTACACGAATTGCAAGTATGCTTTTTCTGCCTTACAACTCGCCCTTATCTCTAATGTTGCCATCACAAGCAAACTGAGAGTTCAACAATTCTACAAGCTATATTAGAGTTCATCAAAACGTGCGCACAGTGAAGCTACATTTACACGTCGGGCCTTTTTAACACGCCGTGCGCGAAACGCTGTTTCTCGTATTGGTTTTGCGTGTGCAGGAAAGACATTTCTGTCACAGTGAGCGAAACATCGCTAAGCGCGTGAAAAACATCGGTAACGATTCGCAATTGAATTTCGTCTTGGCATCTTTTCTTCGTTGTTTACAAATTACTTGCGGTCCGGATGGCCGAGATTGATAAGGCAGGAGTGCCGTAGTGATCTCGGACGGTGAAGGATCGCGGGTTCGAGTGCCGCCTCGGGCATGGTTGTATTGTGTTCGTCCTTTGACCACTTATCGTGTCATCCTCATAGTTACCATACCGTTACGCGCAATAGCGGTCGCTAATGACATAGAAGTTGACGCGACCTTAAAAAAAAGACACGACGTGCTTCACTCGTGTGTTTTGCGCCCTTGTTTCGTAAACTATTATATTGAGGTTAATTTTAACTACAACTGGAGTAATGTTCTTAAAATTTTTTGAATGAAATAAATTAGGGTTCTAATTAAGTCGGCTTAGTGCCCAAACAAACGGGCCAGGCACCGCGTGCGATCTTCCCTTCCTCTTCCTTCTATCTTCATCCCTTACTTTCACACACATACTCTCGCATGTACTACACTACCACATATGTCGGTAGAGCAATCGGGAGCTTGCCCCGGCTGGGGCGGTGCCACGCTGGTGTGAGATACCTGGTTGGGGAAAACCCCGCTAGCCGACGGTAGGTCGGCGCCGGATCTTGCTATACAGCGTAAGATCACTCCCACATCCAACTATGCAAATGCACTACACTTACGGGACTAACAACTTTAGCAGTAGACCGTCCGGAACCATTAATCAAATAATCAATCAATCCTATCTTGGTGTAGATTGAGCAGGGATCCTAATCGTCGTCCCGTTTTCGGATAATGTTTGTTTCGTCGACCCCCTTATTATGTATTCACTATAATATACAGCATCCTGACGCAAAAGTATCACGTGCATGCCCTAAATATACCAATTTCGTACTCCAATTTTTCAGTTTCAGTATTCGTGTAAACATATAGATTTTTCAATTATCAAAAACGTTTTGTTTTTGAGTTGTTGAGTTCTAATATTTGTTACGCCATGATTTTTAAAAAATGAGTTTTTTAAGAACTTTTTCTGGAGTATATTACGGAGAGTACTTATTGCGTGATAGGTTATCGAATGTGTTTTGTTATTTAATTTGTGCATCAACATCCAGGTAATTAGCGCCCACTATTGCATTTAACGGTATGGTACTTGTGAAGATGACATGATTTGGTGATGGAGCGATCACAAATACAACCATGCCCGAGGCGGGACTCGAACCTGCGATCCTTCGGTCAGAGTTCGCTACGGCACCACTGTCTTAATCTTGACCTTTGGAGCGGTAGGGTGAAGAAAATCATTATTGGCCCTCTTCAAAATTTCGGCGACATCCAGAACATGTACAGGTGGACCACCTAAGTTGGCCACAGCAAATGTATTGAAAATGATTTGAGGTATCGAGATTCTATTTGCGCCATGCTGTTGCAGATGATGGGGATAAATAACATATTTCGTTTTCTTGTTTGTACCGAATGTAATTTTAAAGATATTGACTTAACTTTGCTTTATTAAATGAAAGTATATATTTTTCTCCATTATTCTAAAGTTCATTGAACATGAAATCCAACGATATAAAGGTTGTTAATAATTGATAAGTATCTTTTGCCAAAACAGTTCAATTAGGGCTTTGTAAGCGCCAGCGCGCAAGGACAGCCGATCTAGCTGACATCTTACAGAACGTTAGTCGTCGCACCTTGTCGGAAAACGAGAAAGTTTTCCGATTACGGGATTTTCTATGCTCTTACTGATAATGCTCATAACCTCGGCTTTGGACTTGCACAAATTCTACATGCGCAAGGAAGGGGGGATGTTCGAAATCACATTGATTTCAGCGGAGACGTGTATGTAAGTACCTGTATTAAATTTTAATTTGTGGAGCCTAGTGTATTCCTAGGGAAAATCACGTGTACGTGAGGAGAAATCACGTACATTTGTTTCCTTTAATTTAATAATTTTGTAACAATTCTGTTGCAACGTTGCCAGTTGAAAGATTTCAAAACAGAAGGAAAACGTTAATGAAGGTATTCTTAACTAACAAAAAACAAGATGAGAGATTGAAAAATTCATGGAACTCCAATATTAAAATTAACACGATTATATTAAACGCTTCGAAAACTATAAGCGCGCAAGAAAGTCTCTAAAGTATATTTTATAGCTAATTGTATTATCTCATTTGTAAAAATATCAACATTTCTGTAACTGAAAAATAATGTACGATATCTGTAATAGTCGTTTATAATCGGCAAAAAGATCTTTAAATAAATTACACAAGAATGGAATATTAATATTTTTTTTTCAAAAAAACTTATTTAAAGTCAGACATTTCAGATATAGTATACTGTTCAATTGTTGAAATAGCCTATTTGTTACACAGAAAAGAGGCTGTCTCAGTGGAGCCGATTTTTTTCCAAAATTTATATCGGCCGATAAGCCAGATTCGTTTAAAAACTTGTGTTAGTAAATGGAAAAGGGCTTATTGAACCGGAGCGCCCTCTACAGATCTGATTCGTTTGATTCGGATTCATTCGCTTGAAATGAGCTCGAGAGTCGCGGCCCTCTGTACGACCAAGTCTACTTGCAACACATGTCGTGACCGGCCTCCTCGCTAATGTTTCAAACAATTGACTGCGGAATTGTGGGAATATTCGGAACTGCGAGCTTTCGGCGGCACCATGACCGCGACCGAACAAGGTCACATTAGACGAAAGATTTATTGTGCGGAACATTTCCGTCGCGTAATTACCTTTCCTTGATCGTAACAGAGTGGAGACAATTTAATTGAACAACTTGATTGTGCAGTTCGTAGTTCGAAAGAAATGAAAACTGAAGTGGGTTTTTTGGTGTGGCAAGGGGCGGCAGTGGGTGTGTACGTTTTCAGGTCGTGTAGATATGGTCTTTTATCTTATCTCTGCTGAGACATGGCTGTGGGGGTACTAAAGCAGATTGCAAATAAGGAATTATTAAAGTAAAAACACGTTAATAGATCCGCGAACTTCTGTTATTATATAAAAATTTACTACTTTTTAAAATATTGCGACGCGTTTCCCTGTCTTTTAAAAAAACACTGCCCAGTAATATTTATTTTTACATTTTCCATTCGGTGTAGAAAGGACAACTGATGCTTAGTATCTGTATTCTAAGTGCACCCACGTAAAAAAAACCTTTAAAATCTCGTAAAAAACATTTGAATGTCCTAATGATTTAAAATTATTTCTAACAAAATAAAAGCTTACAATTTATGTATTTAAATATTCATTAAAAACTCTTGTGCATGCGAGTAAGTTGGAAAGCAACCCAAGTACAAAATGAAGCGAAAACTGATAATTAATACACAAACATCATTTTGTAACGTATTAGCCAGCGTGCCTCGTGGCATCTATTTGGGGACGCTTGGCAGGATTAGTCTCGCACAGGAGTAGGTGTTTTTCCGTAAGGGAAGAACGCGGAGACGGGGAAGACCAAGGGCTTTGGGTTGTCTCCGGCTTTATAGAAGCTTTTCACTGTTATAACAAGCGAGGGGGTGGCGTGACGTAAGGAGGTCACGTGTGGCCTCGCTATATAACTGAGTGTACAGAGCCAGTAGGTAAGGTTTTCTTGGAGACGGTGGGAGAAACCTCGTCGCGTGGTGCACAAAACTTGGGCGGCCTAGAAGTGCATATGCGAGCCAGGCTCGCGAGCTGGAAGTCATTAGTTTGACTGAAGCTGCGGATTTTTACTGTCCTTGGTGACTGCGGTCAGGGAGCGCATGGCTGTGTGCGTGCTCCGAGGTTGAAGAGTGGTTGAGTGCCCACGATTCACGCGCCGATTCTCAATCCGATAAGATCGCTCAGCGATCGAGGCAACGCAGCCGTTGGTGGCCAGAACGGACTTTTGTGTCCCAGCGTGAGTCCGGTCACGGAAGCTAGCTTTGTGCGGGCTCAAAAGTAGGAAGTTGGCGAATGCCACAAATCAAAACCATCTTCATCGGGTTTTGGATCGCTCCGTCGATCAGGGGGATAGTAGGTCTATCAGAGCTAGGGTTTAAGGTAGAGTTATTAAGTGTATTATTTGTTTTGTTTTTTGTTAATAAATATATTTGCTTATAACGAAAGCTCTGTGTCTGTGGGTCGCTGTGAGTATCCATGACGTCACAATTTGCTAATATTGGACTTTCCACTTTTATCACAACAAACGCGTCAAACAATACAATACAAAGAAGTTACAAAATAAACCTTCAACAAAAGGAAAATTTTGTTTGTTACCAGCGATGACTATAGTAAACATATACTTATTATCCTATATTAATCTAATTCGTATAGTAATATTCTTAAAACTGAGAGGGGAACATCCTCGTTATGCACAATATATAGGCATGGAATAAATTGTCTCAATGTATTTCAGTTCGGAATGTTGAAAATCAAAGTATTTTATTTAACTTAGTTTAAAAATATAATATTGTTCAATGAGAAACAAAAAAACAATATTCCAAAATAAGTAAGATATCCACTGGATCACTTTTTAACTTTTCCAACCGTGTGGGGGGCATAAACCAATGAAAATGTTTGTACAAAATTTTTTTTAACCGTCTTCCATTTTCCATTTTTGTAATATTTCATTGTATGCCTCATTTGTTATTTTTTTGTAATCACTGTTTTTTTAGATATATTCCCATTTGTACTTGTCTACTTGTGTGGTTGTGATTTTAATCAAGTTTCGTAAATATGTATATCTTGCGATTGGATTTCTGTGATTTCATTTGAATATGATTTTCTTTTTTGTTTGTTTTTATTTGTAAAATACTGTAATCGGGGCAAGGGCAAAGGAGGAACGGAACGCCGAAAACGTGTGGGGGACAGGGGGGGCGGGGCTGGGAGCTGGCACGAAAGCTTGGTGAGCGAGGCAGCGCTCGTAATGGAAGGGCGATGTAGCGGCTCCACTCGGGGGGGGGGGGGGGCCTCATGTCACACACACAGTTACCTCGTCACCTTGATCCTCTCCATTCTCAACCTGTCCAACGGCAGCTGCACCCGGATGGGTGAAATTACGATTGGCTGATGTGTGATGACGCAAATCGTTCGTGACTTAAAATTAATATGTCATTATTCGTGCCGTAAATGCCCGAATGCGATTTTCCCAAACAGAAATATTCTTTTATAATGCTGAATACAAAACAAAAAAGCGCTGAGGTTCACAGACCTGTAAATACAAACATGCTGCGTTTTGTTAGCAATGTCAGTAAATGGGAAGCATTTGAGTTTTTTTTAAGGAGCCAAGCATCTGCGTTGGATCCTTGACAATACCATCACTTTGAGATTAACAAAAAGAAATTGAACTTTAAGCACTTGCTTCAATCAAACAATCCGGAGCCAGTTGTTATGCATCCATCGAAGATGAAGCGGGAGACATCGCGCATACCTCGACGCACATTATTCATGGACAGTCGGTAACGTCATCGAAAATGCCTAAGGCATTTCTCCGTGAGCGAACCTGTTTTTCACACAAACGCAATGGCAGAGCTCACATGCTTGCGAACAGGGTGTGAAGAAATGGGATTGGAGAAATCCCAGCGCAGGTGACCTTTTAATAGTTCTTATTCTTTACTAATACGATATGCTTGTTATTGCCTTCGATATAGCAGCGCGATATACACTGGTGTACCGTTTCTGTATTGAAAGGAATGTGTAACGAGGGAATATGGAAAAAAATAAATTGATGCTAATACGTTTTAGTGGACGGGTTTAAAAAAGAAGCGGATTTGGGGGTTGGAAAGAGAATTGGCAAAGAGATTGGAATAGGGGATCTGAGAGAGGGGCTTACTAGAAAAGAATGAATAGGGGATTAGGAAAAGGGTGATTGGAGAAAGGATGGGATGAAGAGGATTGGGAAGGGGATGGGGAAAGGGGATGGCGAGTAGGGTATAGGGAGAGTGATGGAAGGGGAGATGAAAGGGAAGAAGAAGGGGGCGGGCGAGGGGAGATAGGAGGGAGATGGAGATGCGGAGGGGGGCGGAAGGATGGGGAGGGGGATGGAAGGATGCAGGAGGGGGATGGAAGGATGCGGGAGGGGGGATGGAAGTAATGCGGGGGGGATGGAGTGATGCGGGAAGGGGGATGGAAGTATGCGGGAGGGGGATGGAAAGGATCGGAAGGGGGATGGAAGGATTCGGGAGGGGGATGGAAAGGAATTGGGGGATGGGGGATAGGAAGGACGGGGGAAAGGGGTGGACACGAACCGGCGGGGGAGGGGATGAGGAAGGGAAAGGAATGAAAGCATGGGCGGAAAGGAATGGAAGGAAAATGGGGAAGGGGATGGATTGGGGAGGAGGATGGGGAACGGGAGGGGGAATGGATGGGTGGAATTGCAAGGGATTGCAAGGATGGAAGGGGGATGGATGAGGGGTGGAAGGAACGGGAAGGATGGGAGTGAAGGAAGGGGAAAGGAATGAAAGCATGAGGGGAAAGGAGTAATATGTTGGATTAGGAATTGGTTGTTAATTGTGTAAAGGAGGGATTGTGAGGGATGAAAGGGATTGAAAGGGATTGAAAGGGATTGTAAAGGGATTGTAAGGTTGGTAAAGGGATGAAGGGATTGAAGGGATTGAAGGGATATGAAGGTTGGAAAGGGATTGAAAGGGATTGAAAGGGATTGAAAGGGATTGAAAAGGGATTGGGAAAGGGATTGAAAGGGATTGAAAGGGATTGTAGGGATTGTAAGGGATTGTAAGGGATTGTAAGGGATTGTAGGGGAGGGATGTAAAGGGATTGTAAAGGGATTGTCAGGGATTGTAAGGGATTGGTACAGGGATTGTTTACGGGAATTGTAAGGGTATATGTAAGGGATTGTAAGGGATTGTAAGGGATTCTGTAAGGGGATTGTAAAGGGGTTGGTAAGCGGATTTGTAAGGGATTGTAAGGGATTGTAAGGGATTTGTAAGGGTTGTAAGGGATTGTAAGGATTGGTAAGGGATTGTAAGGGATTGTAAGGGATTGTAAGGATTTGTAACAGGCATTGTAAGGGATTGTAAGGGGATTGTTAAGGGGATTGTAAAGGGTTGGTAAGGGATTGTAAGGGATTGTAAGGGATTGAAGGGAAATTGTAAGGGATTGTAAGGGATTGTAAGGGATTGTAGGGATTGTTAAAGGGAATTGTAACGGATTGTAAGGATTGTAAGGGTTGCAAGGGATTGCAAGGGATTTGCAAAGGATTGCAAAGGGATTGCAAGGGATTGCAAGGATTTGCAAGGATTGCAAGGGATTCGCAAGGGATTGCAAGGGATTGCAAGGGGATTGCAAGGGATTGCAAACGGGATTGCAGGGGATTGCAAGGGATTGCAAGGGATTGCAAGGGATTGCACAGGGATTGTAAGGGATTGTAAGGGAATTTTGTAAGGGATTGTAAGGGATTGTAAGGGGATTGTTAGGGATTGTAAGGGATTGTAAGGGATTGTAAGGGATTGTAAGGGATTGTAAGGGATTGTAAGGGATTGTAAGGGATTGTAAGGGATTGTAGGGGATTGTAAGGGATTGTAAAGGATTGTAAGGGATTGTAAGGGTTGTTAAGGATGAAAGGGATTGAAGGGATTGAAAGGGTTGAAAGGGATTGAAACGGGATTGAAAGGGATTGTAAGGATTGTAAGGGATTGTAAAAGGGATTGTAAGGGATTGTAAGGGATTGTAAGGATTGAAGGGATTGGAAAGGGATTGAAAGGGATTTGAAAAGGATTGAAAGGGGATTGAAGGGATTGAAAGGGGTTGAAAGGGATTTGAAAGGGATTTGAAAGGGATTGAAAGGATTGAAGGGATTGAAAGGGATTGAAAGGGATGAAAGGATTGAAGCGGATTGGAAAGGGATTGAAAGGGATTGAAAGGGATTGAAAGGGACACTTTGAAAGGGATTCGAAAGGGATGAAAGGGATTGAAAGGGATTGAAAGGGATTGAAAGGGATTGAAAGGGATTGAAAGGGATTGAAAGGGATTGAAAAGGGGATTGGAAAGGGATTGGAAAGGATTTTGGAAAGGGATTGAAAGGGATTGAAAGGTATTGAAAGGGATTGAAAGGGATTGAAAGGGATTGAAAGGGATTGAAAGGGATTGAAAGGGAATTGGTAAAGGGATTGTAAGGGATTTAAGGGATTGTAAGGGGATTTGTAAGGGATTGTAAGGGATTGGTAAGGGTTCGTAGGGATTTGTAAGGGATTGTAAGGGATTGAAAGGGACTTTGAAAGGGATTGAAAGGGATTGAAAGGATTGAAAGGGATTGAAGGGATTGAAAGGGATTGAAAGGATTGAAAGGGATTGAAAGGGATGAAAGGGATTGAAAAGGGATTGAAAGGGATGGAAAGGGATTGAAGGGATTTGAAAGGGATTGTAAGGGATTGTAAGGGATTGTAAGGGATTGTAAGGGATTGTAACAAGGGATTGTAAGGGATGTAAGTGGATTGTAAGGGATTGTAAAGGGATTGTAAGGGATTGTAAGGATTTGTAAGGGATGTAAGGGATTTGTTAAGGGATGTAAGGGATTGTAAGGGATTGGTAAGGGTTGTAAGGGGATTGAAAGGGATTGTAAGGGATTGTTAAAGGGATTGGTAAGGGGATTGTAAGGGATTGCTAAGGGATTTGTAAGGGATTGTAAGGGATCTGTAAGGGGATGTAAGGGATTTGAAAGGGATTGAAAGGATTGAAAGGGATTTGAAAAGGGATTGAAAGGGATTGAAAGGGTTGAAAGGGATTGAAGGGATTTGAAAGGGATTGAAAGGGATTTGGAAAGGATTGGAAAGGGATTGCAATAGGATTGAAAGGGATTGAAAGGGATTGAAAGGATTGAAAGGGGATTGAAAGGGATTGAAAGGGATTTGAAAAGGGATTGAAAGGGATTGGAAAAGGGATTGAAAGGATTGAAAGGGGATTGAAAGGGATTGAAAAGGGATTGAAAGGGATTGAAAGGGATGAAAAGGGATTGAAAGGATTGAAAGCGGATTGAAAGGGATTGAAGGATTTGAAAGGGATTGAAAGGGATTGAAAGGGATTTGAAAGGGATTGAAAGGGATTGAAGGGATTGGGGAAAGGGATTGAAAGGGATTGAAAGGGGATTGAAAGGGATTGACAAGGGATTGAAGAGGGATTGAAAGGGATGGAAAGGGATTTGTAAGGGATTGTAAGGGATTGGTAAGGGATTGTAAGTGATTGTAAGGGATTGGTAGGGATTGAACAGGGATTGGAAAGGGATAGAAAGGGATTGAAAGGGATTGAATAGGGATTGAAAGGGGATTGAAAGGGATTGAAAGGGATTGAAGATTGAAAGGGATTGAAAGGGATTGAAAGGGATTGAAGGGATTTGGAAAGGGATTGAAAGGGATTGAACAGGGATTGAAAGGGCATTTAAGGGTTGTAGCAGGGGATTTGTAAGGGATTGTAAGGGATTGTAGGGATTGGGTAAGGATTTGTAAGGAGATTGGGAAGGGATTGGTAAGGATTGTAAGGATTGTAGGGTTGCTAAGGGATTGTAAGGGATTGTAAAGGGATTGTAAGGGAATTGTAAGGGATTGTCAGGATTGTAAGGGTTGTAAGTGATTGTAAAGGGATTGTAATGGATTGTAAGGATTTGTAAGGGATTCGTAAAAAGGGGGGGGAATTTGTAGGATTTGTAAGGGATTTGTAAGGGATTGTAAGGGATTGTAAGGGGATGTAAGGGGATTTGTAAGGGATTGTCAGGGATTGAAAAGGGGATTGAAAAGGGGATTGAAAGGGATTGAAGGGGATTTGAAAGGGATTGAAGGCGATTGCAAAGGGATTTGAAAGGGATTGTAAGGGATTGTAAGGGATGTGTAAGGGAATGTAAGTGGATTGTAAGGGATTGGTAAGGGATTAGTAAGGGATTGAACAGGGATTGAAAGGGATTTGAAAGGGCTTGAACAGGGAATTGAAAGGGATTGAAAGGGTTGGAAAGGGGATTGAAAGGGATTCGAAAGGGATTGAAAAGGGAATTCGAAAGGGACTGAAAGGGATTGAAAGGGATTGAAGGGATTGAAAGGGATTGAAAGGATTGAAAGAGGGATTGAAAGGGATTGAAAGGGATTGAAAGGGGATTGAACGGGCTTGAAAGGGAATTGAAAGGATTGGAAGGTGATTGAAAGGAATTTGAAAGGGATGGGAAAGGGATTGAAAGGGATTGAAAGGATTGAAAGGGATTGAAAGGGGATTGAAAGGGATTGAAAGGGATTGAAAGGGATTGAAAGGGATTGAAAGGGATTGAAAGGGATTGAAAGGGATTGAAAGGGATTGAAAAGGGATTGAAAGGGATTGAACAGGATTGAAAGGGATTGAAAGGGATTGTAAGGGATGTAAGGGATTGTAAGGGGATTGTAGAGGATTGTAAGGATTGTAAGGGATTGTAAGGGATTGTAGGGATTGTAAGGGATTGTAAGGGATTGTAAGGGATTTGGTAAGGGATTGTAGAGGGATTGTAAGGGATTGGAAAGGGATTGAAAAGGGGATTGAAAGGATTGAAAGGATTGAAAGTGTGATCTGAAAGGGATTGAAAGGATTGAAAGGGATTGAAAGGCGATTGGAAAGGGATTGAAAGTGGATTGAAAGTGGTTGACAGGGATTGAAAGGATTGAAAGGGATTGAAAGGGATTGAAAGGGTTGAAAGGGATTGAAAGGGATTGAAAGGGATTGAAAGGGATTGAAAGGGATTGAACGGGTATTGAAGCGGATTGAAAGGGATTGAAAGGGATTGGGAAAAGGGATTGAAAGGGATTGAAAGGGAATTTGAAAGGGAATTGAAAGGATGAAGGGATTGAAAGGGATTGAAAGGGATTGAAAGGGATTGAAAGGGATTGAAAAGGGATTGAAAGGGGAATTGAAACGGGATTGAAGGGATTGAGGATTGAAAGGGATTGAAGGGATTGAAAGGGATTGAAAGGGATTGAAAGGGATTGAAAGGGATTGAAAGGGATTTGAAAAGGGATTGAAAGGGATTGAAAAGGGATTGAAAGGGATTGAAAGGTTGCAAGGGATTGAAAGGGGATTGAAAGGGGATTGAAAACGGGATTGAAAGGGATTGAAAGGGAATTGAAAGGGATTGAAAGGGATTGAACGGGATTGAAAGGGATTGAAAGGGATTGAAGGGGATTGAAGGGATTGAAGGGGATTGAAGGGATTGCAGGGGATTGAAGGGGATTGAACGGGGCATTGAGGGGATTGAAGGGGGATTGAAGGGGATTGAAGGGGATTGAAGGGGAATTGAAGGGGATTGAAGGGGATTGAGAGGGGATTGAAGGGGATTGAAGGGATTGAAGGGGATTTGAAGGGATTGAAGGGGATTGAAGGGGATTGAAGGGATTTGAAGGGGATTGAAGGGATTTGGAAGGGGATTGAAGGGGATTGAAGGGGATGACGGGGATTGAAGGGATTTGAAGGGGATTGAAGGGGATTGAAGGGGATTGAAGGGGATTGAAGGGGATTGAAGGGGATGTGAAGGGGATTGAAGGGATTGGCAGGGGATTGAAGGGGTTTGAAGGGGGATTGAAGGGGATTTGAAGGGGAATTTGAAGGGGATTTGCAAGGGATTTGAAAGGGGATTGAAGGGATTGAAGGGATTGAAGGGATTGAAGGGGATTGAAGGGGATTGAAGGGGATTGAAGGGGATTGAAGGGGATTGAAGGGGATGAAGGGGGAATTGAAGGGGATTGAAGGGATTTGAAGGGGATTGAAGGGGATTGAAGGGATTGAAGGGGATTGAGGGGATTGAAGGGATTGAAGGGGATTGAAGGGATTGGAAGGGATTGACGGGATGAAGGGGATTGAAGGGGATTGAAGGGGATTGAAGGGGATTGAAGGGGATGTGACAGGGGATTGGAAGGGGATTGAAGTGGGGATTGAAGGGGATTGAAGGGGATTGAAGGGGATTGAAGGGGAATTGAAGGGGATTGAAGGGGATTGAAGGGATTTGAAGGGGTGAAGGGGATTGAAGGGTTAAAGGGGAATTGAAGGGGATTGAAGGGGATTGAAGGGATTGAAGGGGATTGAAAGGGGATTGAAGGGGATGAAGGGGATTGAAGGGGAA